CATCTGCACATTACCTCAATATTGGCGCACATAACAAAATCCATTCCCTCTAATTTTTTTCCAAGTATGTATGGAATAGTGGCTGGGAGTCTCCTGGAATCAGGCTCAATCTCCTGAAGGTGCCTGAAGCCAAATCAAGAGATCAGCCACTAAGGCTATATCTACACTGCGGAGCTATTTCGGAACACCAGAAGTATCTTGAAATAGCTATTCCATGTCTTTAAAGCAGCCTGTTATTTCAAATAGATTTCAAAATCATGGGCACACTATTCTGGCATCCCTGTAACCTTTGTTCCACGAGGGTTAAGGGATGTTTCGGAATAGCACTTTATTTCGAGGGAAGGGTGCAATGTAGACACACCCTCACAGTCCAGCAGTGCAGCGGGGCTACAGCAGACTCCTCTCCCCACCTGCCCTTGCCCTGCATCGTTCCTGGACATGGCTGACATGCCTCTGCAGCTCTGGGGGAGGCAGGGCAAAGGTCTCTTCACACTGCCCTTGCATGCAGACACCACCCCTGCAGCTCCCATTGATTGGGCATAAGGAACCACACACAGCCAATGGGAAGTGTGAGGGAGATGCCTATGGATGAGGACAGCATGTGGAGCTGTTTCCCCTCTCCCCCAGGAGCTGCTGCTGGTCATGCCAGCTGCTTTTAGGAGTGGTACAGGGCTAGGGCAAGAGTGAGCCTGCTCTAACCCCTCTGCCACTGCCAGGTACCTGAGGTAAGTGGTGCCCAGACAAAGCCTGCATCCTGAACTCCTGCCCCAGCCCTGAACCCCCTTCTGCACCCAAACTCCCTGCCCCAGCCTGCAGAAAGTGAGTGACGATGGGGGAGGATGAAGTAAACAGGGTGGGGCTTCAGAGAAGGGGTGGTGCAGGGGTGGGGGCCTTGTGAAGGAGGTGGGCCGGGGCATTTGGCTTTGAAGTAGATACTGGACTGCACTTAAATTCCAAAAGGGATCTTTTGCTTAAAAGGGTTGGAGATCACTGCTTTAGTCCATCTCCCCCCTAAACACACATCAATGTGGGGAGACAGGGGGCAGAGCTGACACCACAGGCTATATATTATTGCTTGCGCCTGCCCTGCATCCTTTGTCCAGTAAATCCCTGGCACCTGGTGGAGCTACCGGAGCTGGGTGCTAGAGGGAGGACTAGAAGCGAACAGATTTACAGATCAAAAGGCTGTCATGCTCTCTTGGGCTCTCTGAGAGATCTGAGATTATCTCCAGCGAGGGACCTCCCTCTTACTTCATGAAGCCTTCATTTGTCTGCTTCATGTGACTGGCATTTGTTTTGTTCCCTCCGCCCATCCCCCACGTTCCCTGATAGACTCACTCTTTGGTTATGCCAGCAAGGCACGGAAGGAACATTGAAAAAACCTGCAGCAGTGAGTCTCAGAGCCGTGATCAACTGACGCTACCCAGCTAAAACAAGCAGTGTCGATGTTCCCACTCAGATGAAATCTGGCTCTCAAACCCAGCCAGGAGGGTGGGTCTCAGAGCCCAGGTCGGAACATCTACATGTCGAGTCTTAGCCCCGTTGCAGAAGCCTGACTCAGTGGGCCAAGGCTCTGAGACTTGCTGTCCCAAGAGGGTGAAGGGGTAGCAGTAGAGACAGATCCTACAACTCCACTGTATAGCCTTGACGCAATTATTACGTTTTCCTTATACTATGGGAATCGTGGAAGAACTGATCTTATGGTCATGTTTACATTGCTACTTGTAACTTTGCATGCACCTAAGTGATATGCTTTATGCTTCCCTACTCCCCTCTCTGAGGCAGTGTGGGCTAGTGGTCCAGGCACTGGAATGGCAATAGGAAGCCCTATTTCCAGCTCCATCGCCCATCCACTGCTGGGTTGTTGGGCAAGTCACTTCCTTGCTCGGTGCCTCAATTTTCCCCTCACTCTGTCTATTTACATTGTAAACTCTTCAGGGCACAGATTGTCTCTGACTTTAACTATGTCCAGTGCCTAGCACAACAAGATACTGATCTTGATTAGGGCTTCTAGACCCCACAGAAATAAACAATAATAATTCAAAGGTAAAACTTTCTTTTCAAAAATACGTTTGTCATCACAAAATGGCTCTAACATGGGGGACTCCATTTAAATATAATTGGAACCACAAAAAAGGCAGTTAACCAGGACGATGCTGGACATTGTGGTTATTGCATAATTATGAAAAGCGAGATTCTGAAAACGTACAGGAAATTCTGTACATTGTGTACAGCAAAACTGAAAGGAGTTAAGATTTCATTAGGCAGATTCTCCTCTCTTATGCTGCTTGCAGCTGAAACATGCTGTGTGAAATCAGCCAAAGCTACATATAAACAAAGGAAAGGAACTGCTCCCTATGGTCATGTAGTTATTGCTGGCTTCCACACTGCTCCCCAGAATAGCTTCATCAAAAGCAAAATACACATCGGTCGCATATAAAGGTCTTCAGCCAAAAGTTTCTGTGCTTAGAAAGAGCTGGCCCCCACTTAAAATTGAAGGCAAATGCCAGGAAGGCAACACAACATGCTCATCCCTTTCCCAAGGCCATGGAAGCTACTCTGCTCACTCTCTGTGCTGTAGGGGCCATGCAGTTTCAGACAGGAGTGCTGGTTTGAGTGAGGAAGAGCTACCGAGCAAGGCATGCAAAGGAAGGGGCTGTCTCCTCCTAGCTCTCTTTCTGCCACTATTTTGGGTACGGCACTGAGCACGCTGACAGTGCTTAAAAAATAACTGCAGTTTCCAAGAGGTGTCGGGGGCCAGCTGCACGAGGCAGTAATTCAGTGAGCCACTGAAGATTTGCTTACCAGCCGACTTGATTTCTTTGACGTAGTTACTGGGGAACCAGCCTGTTTTTCCATTCAGTGTCCCTTCCCACCAGCCCCCTTCTTCAACTCTGGTGACATAAATAATATCGCCTTTGTTCACGGTGAGTTCGTCTTCATTGGTCTGCTTAAAATTGAACCTGGCCTTTACCACCAACTGATAGCTACCATTTTCGATCATCTCCTACGGAAACAAACATTGAAGAGCATTAGAAGCCAATTCAAGAGATAAGCAGGGTGATACTATGGTGTCATGAGCAGGGCTGATGAGAGACTTTTGCCAGGCCTTGGGGAGAGCCAGCTCTGGGCCCCTCACAAGGGGTGAAGCCTCAAGAGGAAAGGGGAAGGACAGGGCTACCCTCACCAGCCAGCCCTGGAGCACCACTGGGGCTGCAGGGGAAATGCCATGCAGGGCTCTGGCAGTGATTTAAGGGACCCAAGGCTCCAGCCCCTGCTGCAGTAGCAGCCGCTGGGAGCACTGGGCCTTTTTAAATCGCCAGGGCAGCTGTCCCTTTTAGGGTTGCCAGGTGTCCAGTATCGGCCTGGACGGTCCGGTATTTGCGGCTTCTGTCCAATAAAAAAACCCTGAAAATACCGGACATGTTTTTCTTGGACGAAAGGCCACTGGGACATTATTCCCCTGCCACATCTGGTGGGGGCAGGAGAAGCAGGGGGATTTAAAGGCTCTTTTTTTTGCTCAACCAATTTTTTTCCCATCATGTTCGGTATTTTTTGTGAAACTATCTGGCAATCCTAGTCCTTTTGCCCACCCCATTCCCCATCAGCGGCCCTGGTCATAAGCCACTGTTTGCATTTTTATAACAGCAATAATATCATGCCCTTATATAATACTTTCCACCAAAGGATCTTACAAGCAGCAATTCACCTTCATAACAGTATGGCTGTGTCTACACTGGACCACTTATTCCGGAAAAGCAGCCGCTTTTCTGGAATAACTTGCCAGCTGTCTCCACTGGCCGCTTGCTTTTCCGGAAAAGCACTTTTTCCGAAAAAGCGTCCGTGGCCAATGTATACGCGCTTTTCCGGAAAAAAGCCCCGATCGTCATTTTCGCGATCGGGGCTTTTATCCGGAAAAGACTACTGTGCTGTCTACACTGGCCCTTTTCCGGAACAGTTTTTCCGGAAAAGGACTTTTGCCCGAACGGGAGCAGCATAGTTTTTCCGGAAAAACACTGACAATTTTACAGTAGATCGTCATTGCTTTTCCGGAAAAGCATCCTGCCAATGTAGACGTGCTTTTTCCGGAAATACTTATAACGGAAAACTGTTCCGTTTTAAGCATTTCCGGAAAAGGGTGCCAGTGTAGACGTAGCCTATGGGTATGTCTACATTGCATTCCTCTTCCAAGTGAGGAATGCAAATGCAGACACTCGAAATTGCAAATGAAGTGGGGATTTAAATATCCCATGCTTCATTTGCATAATTGCGTTATGGAGCTATTTTGAAATAGTGCTATTTCGAGAGAAAAACGGGGTTATTTTGAGATAAAACCCTTCCCTCCAAATAACCCTTACTCCTCATTTTCTGAGGAGAGGAATGAAGTGTAGACATACCGTATGAGAGGCAAGTAAGTATTGATTCCCAGGCCTCTGCTCTTGTCACTGAGGGTATGTCTAGACTACATGGCTCCGTCGACGGAGCCATGTAGATGAGTTTACTAGACATAGGAAAATGAAGCGTCAATTTAAATAATCGCCGCATCATTTACATCAAAATGGTCGCCACTCTGTGCCGATCAGTTGTTTGGCGGCACAGCGGGGCAGTCTGGACGCGCCGCGGTCGACAAGGAAAGGCTTTGTCGACCACTCTGGTATGCCTCGTGAAATGAAGTTTACCAGAGCGGTTGAAAAAGGCTTCCCTTGTCAACTGTGATGCGTCCAGACTGCCCCGCTGTGCCGCCAAACAGCTGATCGGTACAGCATGGCGGCCATTTTTATGTAAATGAAGCAGCGATTATTTAAATCGCCGCTTCATTTTCCTATGTCTAGTAAACTCATCTACATGGTTCCGTCGACGGAGCCATGTAGTCTAGACATACCCTAAATGTGCTCCCTCTCTCTATGAGAGATCAATGGGTGTAACCTCTATGTTTGCTCTTAGATTTTAAATCAAGAGTACCACAGGTTTCGACTGCCTCCTTAACACTCTTGAAGTCTGAGCTGCTGTTCTGTGTGAATTAGTCTGTGAGCTGCCGGCAGCCGAACTATGAAATGACAAACGTGAACATGGCCGTTCTGATGGCTGATCTGTTGAAGGAAAAACAAACTGATATGTTATCCATTGTTTTACAAAACTTTTTCTATTTCCTCACAATTAAAAGAACAAATACATGCACAGAACTATAAAGTCCCCAAACATGTAGGGGCTCAGAGCAGACAGCTGAATATTGCAATGCTTATTTTGATTACATATAATGGACCAATACCATTAACCATGTAAATAAATAGTTTAAAATGTGTCCCATTTTAGCATGATAAAAGAGCATGAAATGTCACCCTCTAACCTCTGACAGAAAACTCCAGGAAGAGTAAATTCCTACAGACACTTAATGGAGATTCTTCCTCCATTCCAATAGACAGAGCTTGTGGTTTTAAAATTAAGTTCTTGGTCTCTATTCCAAACCTTACACAGTTCAAGCAGGTGGCTTAAGTGTGTGGTTGGCACTTATGGCTATATTTAATGACCAATAACTTTACTTGTTTCTACTCTAGCCACTTAAAATATTTGTCAAGTGATGAAAACCTGTTAGTGACTACAGACCTGAGCTTCATTTGAACCAGCAGCAAAAGTACTAGAGATTGCTTATATCACTATAAATCACAGAAACTATACAGTTCCCTTGTATGCTATTGGAACAGAAAGTAAATGTTCACTTGTATGCTTCCAAGCAGAGAAATCGTGTTTCAAGAAATTATCACTCTCATTAATCCTCTGCTAGTGTGTCAAGTTTCCATTTTATTGGAAAAATAATGAAATCATGCGAGTTTCATATGCTGCCATTTGCGAATGAAGCAAAGGCAGCTATCATTTCAAGAAGCAGTAAAGTACAGACAATTTAAAGACTTGCTACAGATTCTCTTATTCTGTTTAAATCTAAGTGTGTTGCTTTATTGCAGTTGTGGAACATGAACTCCCAATACCAAGCACATTCAGGGAAGGTTGTTGCCAAGTGAAATTAGGAAATAAAGGGCCCAAGTCCTGTCCTGCAAGGCACTGGTTGCCCTTCACTCTCATTGTAATTGTGATTCCAAAAAGAACTTAAATTGAAGTTAAAGGAGCTCATTGTGTTGTAGGGTTGGGAGACAGATTATTACTCAGTCAGGCGCTCCCCATCCGAGGATTTTCTATAAAATAAAATCTTACTACACTTTCCAGACCTGATCCAGAATGACCACTGAGCAGAATTCAATGGCAATATTTAGTCCCTACTGTTGATAGGTAGGGAGAGTCATTTTGTTCTGTGTTGGTACAGCACCTGACACAATGGTGTGCTAGTTCATGACTGGGGCTCTGAGACACTACCACAAAGCAAATAATAAAATAAATAATACTGCTTGTGGCAATGGTTAGTGCAATAACTGATGGTCTGTGTTATCTGAGGCAATGTTCATGAATATTTCTACCATCCCTTGTTGACTGAATTCTTTCCCTCACTCCCATGTGCCTGATGCACACCAAGTGAAATCCACTTCTCGGCTCCTTGAATTGTGGTGTTGATCGCAATAACTGACAGGATGAAAAGCTGCTTTGCAGAGACAGAATGTTTTTCTCTGAAGTGTACTGAACATTTGATCAGATTTGTTTCAGCTGTTTTCAGTGTTCTGGGGGTGGGGCAAACTGGCAGGACTGGCATGTGGCCAATTTTAGATTTTTTCTTCATAATTTATTTTGAAAAGACAGAGTACATAAACCACAAGTCTCTATTCCCCAACCTCTCCAAGCCTTGAAAAACAGTATCAAAGAAATGACTTGGTTACTGTCGATTTTCAGGTTTTACCTCCTTACATTACTAGTTCTATACATATGTAAATATCTAAGGACACATGTAAGACTGACTGTTTGGCATGAAAACCTATCATTTATGTTGCATCAAACTGACATCCTACTTTACGCCTGCTCCCAAATGGAACGCTGCTGAGTGTACTCACCATATGTTGTCAAAATATGGTTAAACCAACTGAGGTTTCCACTCAGAGTCCTATGATACTATTTTAGGCATATCATCACAGCCTGAGAGATCATGTTTTCCCCTCAAATGAAAGCCTAACACTTGATATGCAATGCAGAGAGCTCATGCATTTACCTTTACACATTCTTATGGAAAATCAGAGCTACCTTGCATGGCTGCATCCAGGAAATCACCAAGCATGTGGGCTTCACAAATGCACCCTGGTCTGGCTGTTTAAACTCACTGAAGGCTAGCACAAAGTCCTTTAAGCGGGGAAGCATGTGGGCAGAGCAGCCACTAAGGGAACCTTCTGATACCCACAAGACAGCCAGGTAGCATTCAGACAAGCTTTCTTGCACTGTCCTATCAACATGACTCAGCCCCAAATTTGAGGGGCCCCATGTGAGGAGACATTTCATCCCAAGGGTCCACTAACAGGACATCTAGACTGCCCACGGCGTGAATTTGCATATCTTCTTCTGATCCCGTTTTCGGAAGAGTTTTTTCAAAAAAAAGTCTAGACGCAATTCTTTCGGAAAACCTTGTACACCTCATTTTTTAAGGAACAAGGGGTGGGTTTTTTTTTAGAAATAACCGCATCTAGACTGCTTTTTTTTTTTTCAAAAAATCTTTTCTGAAAACGGGATTGGAAGAAGATATGCAAATTTATGCTCAATTTGCATATCTTCTTTCGAAAGCCGCGAACAGTCTAGACGTGTCCTAAGTCTTGCACCTGTCTAGTGAGAGGGTCTTCAGAACTAGACCAACCCACCAAATGGTTTGACATTTTAGAAATACGACATTTTACCACTTTTCTTCTCCTAAAGGTTTTCTTCCTCTGGGTGATTAATTATATCACAGGTATCAAGCTATGCTAACTTTTAACAAGAAAAGCACATGTTCAAACCAATGTTTAATCATTCAACTTCCTCTAATCCAGTTTCATTGGCCTCTTTGGCAAAGTAACAACAGTGATTATGATACAGCAGAGAAATGCTCCAACTTTTATAACAACTGTATGAACTAAGTCACCATGTTCGTGCAGGATCATGGGGTGACTAGCTTCTAAAGTGGATGAATTCAGATGTTTTGACACTGCAGCTACCTGAGCATGGAGTCGAAGAAAAAGTGAGACAGCTTACCCTCAGCAACCAGTGCTCATGAAATCAAAAGCACTAAAATTCACAAGACAGAATAGCTTTTCACTGTTATGCAGCCTAGTGCATTGAGGATAGTTGGTGTCCTTCTTCCCCCAGACTGCATTTCAAATTTCAGTAAAGAGTTTGTAACACATATAACATCCTTTGGACTGAAAGGTGCTATATCAGTATAAAACTATTCCTATTAGCATCTAAACACTACGGGGCTACGTCTACACTGGCCCCTTTTCCGGAAGGGGCATGTAAATTTCAGCAGTCGTCGTAGGGAAATCCGCGGGGGATTTAAATATCCCCCGTGGCATTTAAATAAAAATGTCCGCCGCTTTTTTCCGCCGCTTACTATTCCGTTTTCAGTTTTTCCGGAAAAGGAGCGTCTACATTGGCAGGCTGCTTTTCCGGAAAAGCCCTTTCTCTGGAAAAGCGTCTGTGGCCAATGTAGACGCGCTTTTCTGGAAAAGAGCCCCGATCGCCATTTTCACGATTGGGGCTTTTTTCCGGGAAAGACTACTGGGCTGTCTACACTGGCCCTTTTCTGGAACAGTTTTCCCGAAAAAGGACTTTTGCCCGAGCGAGAGCAGCATAGTTTTTCCGGAAAAGCAGCTGATTTCTTACAGTAGATCGTCAGTGCTTTTCCGGAAATTCAAGGGGCCAGTGTAGACAGCTCGCAGTTTATTCCGGAAAAGCGGCTGATTTTCCGGAATAAGTGGCCCAGTGTAGACACAGCCTACAAGAATTGGTGCTCTGCCAATACATGAGACATATACATCACACAGAAAGAAATTATAATAATCTTGAACATTTCCCAAATGTTTTAGGCAAAAACCGTCTTTCCTAAAATATCTAGTTTGCTGGCAATTAGTCCTCCTGTTATTTATACTTTCATAATAGTAAGAATAGTGAATGCAACAATCCGGAGTATAGCATATAGACAAGTAGTTCTATGATTATATCACTTGTTATGAAGTTTGCTGACACTACAGAACTTTTTCAATTACATTATGTTTGGTAACATTTCTTCTACCGTATCAGACTTTCTTCCCTTCCAATTCTGAGATATAGGACATATGCTGAGGCCATATGGGAACCATTTTGCTTGATGTATGTTGTGTACAAAGGCACTAAAGAATTAATGGATATATGATATGGTTTCAACAGGCTAAAAACAGGATCTTTGTTCCTTAAATATTTCTCTCTTCCTGCAGTTCACTCCTTAGCTGAAATAAATCTTCATTTATGATGTCATAAGAATTCCAAAAGCAAACAAGTCAGAATCAGAGAGGATTCTGAGTTCAGGTGGGGGAAAGCACCAGGGCAGATTACAACTAAAAACAAGAGATCTGTTTTCATGCAAATTTGCCTTGAATATGTTCCAAGTGATCTGTGTTTTATATGAGCATCCCATTGGTCCACACGGATCTTCTGAAATTGGACCCATGAGGTCTTCTCACTTAATGGGCCCACTAAGGGCTTTTTAAGAGGATGCACTGAGGATGAATTGCTGTTCAGGGGCTTCTCAGACAGCTGACTAACTAGCAGAAACAGTGAATCGGCTGGAGACCTGCAGGGAGGTGCTCTAAAAACTTGTATTTTCCTGTCTAAGAGAAGCAGTATTCCAGAAATGAAAAGCTCTTTTAAAGAGATACTGTCTAGTAAACTCAGACCCAACATTTAGGTTTTATATACATGTGGTTTTATAAAATGTCAGCTCTGCAAAAATACTTCCATAGCATTTTAATTCCAATGAGATGGTTTCTTCCTGGAATGTCAACGTGCCCCTGCAGCCTTGCAGTAGCGCAAGAAGATGTGACAGCTTAGCTAACTAGGCAAGAGCCGGGAATATTGTCCCTTCTCACTCTGGGAGAAACGCAAGAAGTAAACAAAGGGCTTGCAGGGTAACAATTAAAGTGGATTTTAAAATGGTTTCTGCATGAATAATCTAGCTTGCAATTTGCAAGATAATAAGGCAGCATGAGAGGTTTAACTTACAGAATGGTCTGGGCCCAGATCCTGCCACTGGACACAGAGATCTGCCTGTGCAGATCCAGTTGCAGGAGTAGGGCCATAATTACCTTCCTGCCTCCAGCCTCTTTTCAGATCTGTGCAATGCAGTACCCTCTCCAAGCCCACTCATGATGGCATCCTACTCCTCTCTCCCCCTCACTCTCCAGAATTGTGCCCGGGATGTAATTCGTTCCTATGGTCAGTACTGGGCACAGGGAGTTCTTCCTAAGAAGATAAAGTAAGAAGACTGTTTCCACACTCTCAGCATTTAGCCATTTGCTTCTGAACCTACTCTCTTTAGACATGATTTGACAGAAAATCAGAATGCGGAAAATGTTAACGAACAGCTCAATACTGAGATTTGCTTTGCCTGAATGACCTATTCCAGCACTGACCAGCACAGATAGGCTGCCAGTGGTACCATACACATAGTTGGCATCTGATTCCTGATCAAGGACATACCCTTCCCAGACCTAAACAAGGGAAAGAAAGGATCACTGACATTGGACTGAGCATCTAGCAATTCTGACATTTGACAAATATCAAATATGGATGATCCTTTTCTTTTGTTAAAACTTTAAAATATACTATTTAAAATTCAATGTTTACCTTTTGGGGGACTAGCATCTAATTTATATTAGGGCCCATTTATGCTGACCACTTGAAGGTCCATTTATACAGCCAGATTCATGTAAAGGGCCATAGCATAAACAAAATTCTAACAAGATTCTAAATATCCAGAATGCATATTTCAAACAGCACATTTCAGTCCTAAATCACTGGAAATGCAAATGGTTAGTCCCACTATAGCACAACAAACACATGCTCCAGGCTGGCAGTCCTGTATGCAAAACCTCTGAAAATAATTAGAAATCAGGCATTACCAAAAACAGCAGGTCTTACCTCAAAGTAGTATTTTAAAAATAAATAAAAGTTTTCATACCTTCAGTAGCTTTGTTTACAGCTGCTAAGGTACTCAGTACCCTGGAGAAATTTTCTCCGGCATACAGATTGCGTGCATCAAAGAGCTGCAAAAGAGGAACTTTGTCAGTTTAACATGAAACTTGTAATCCCAGTGTTACTGTCCTACTTTGGTAAGCAATGACAATGATTATTAAACGGTCAAACAAACCCTAAGCACTTCTGTGACATTACAAACATTGGAAACAGTTTTGGAGTTGATTTGTTCAGCTTCCTTTTAGCTTAGTGAGTCGCTGGAGTAAAACTGGCAACAGATGTTGAAAAAGGGTACATATGCCCTACCCATTCCGAGCAGGATGTACGGACATGGAAGAAATACTGTGGGTGCTGGTTGCAAACGAGGGTCAGATCTTGCTCCTTTTGAAATCAGTGCTAGTTTTGCTGCTTCCTTGTTGGGAGGGGAGAGGGGGGGGGATGATTTCCTGCCATTTTAGTTATCTACCTTGAAATCAGTGCAAGTTTTGCTGCTTCCTTGTTGGGGAGGAGAGAGGGGGAGATGATTTCCTGCCATTTTAGTTATCTAAACGAATGGGCCTGTGAGTGTAAATTCTTGAGCAGCTAAGCAGTCAAACATAGAATACTTTACTTACAATATGGCATGTACTATACATTTATAAAAGCTTCAGAGAGGTAGCCGAGTTAGTCTGTAACAGTAAAAACTGAAAAAACAACAATAGACTAATAGCACCTTAATGATTAACAAAACTTTGACACCAGAGGTAAGCCGCAATTACCGACATACACTTTGTGAAGACCCTCAGGGCTGTAGCCAACCCAAAGGGAGGAACTGTAAACTGATCATGATTTCTACCAACTGTGAACTGTAGAAACCGTCTGTGCCCCTCGAAGATCGCAACATGGAAGTACACATCCTTGAGCATGAGGGCAGCATACCAATCACTCGGATCCAGGTTGGGGATGGTGGAGGTCACGGAGACCATGCAAAACTTGAACCTCACCAGTTGTGGTTCAGTTCTCACAGGTTTAGGATGGGGCAAAGGCCCCCCTTGGCCTTCAGGATTAAAAAATAACAGGAGTAAACTTCCTCTCCTGCTCCCACCCAGAGCAACTCCCCCACCTATTGCTTGAGAAGTTTCTCATGAAAGGGATCCTTGGAGAGGGCCGGGACTAGGTGGGATGAGTGTGGGGGAGATAGTGAGGGGGTAGAAGAGACCTTGAGGGTGTAACAGTGCTGTACCATGGCTAGAACCCAGCAGTTGGTAGTAGTAGCAGGCCAGGCTGGTAGGAAGTGAGGGTACGTCTACACGAGACCCCTAGTTCGAACTAGGGAGGCTAATGAGGGTGACCGAAATTGCTAATGAAGCATGGGATTTAAATATCCCACACTTGATTAGCATTCCCGGCTGGTTGCCATTTTGGAAACTGACTAGACTGAAGTAACTGCCCACATCTACACGTGGCAGAGAAGCGTGATTCTGAGATAAACCCCTTAGTTCGAATTAACTGTTACTCCTCGTGGAATGAGGTTTAACAGTTAATTCGAACTAACCTGCTGCGTGTAGTTACTTCTGGCTAGTCAGTTTCCAAAATGGCGACAGGACGGGAATATGCTAATCAAGTGCGCGATATTTAAATCCCGCATTTCATTAGCAATTTCGGTCGCCCTCATTAGCCTCCCTAGTTCGAACTAGGGGGCTAGTGTAGACGTCCCCTGACGGAGGTGGGCAGAAAATAAAGGGGAAAGAGCCCTTCTTTGCAGAAGTATGTCGCCCTTGGGTGTCCCCTCAAAAGGGGCGCTTACTGGATGGCTTTGAGTGGCTTGAAGCTGACTGTGAGGGAGGCTGGGGCTGCCTGTTAGGCTTACTCTTGAATGGCTTAGACTTCTTTGGGACTGGGTCATGCTTTAGGGAGGGCCCTTTGGGCTGAAATGGAGGTGGTGTAAACTTCTTCCTCTCTGGCTCATGAGAGATCCTGGATGGAGTGCTGGGCCTCCAGTGATAGGCCTGCGAGGAGAAGCCACGCTGCCTGATACATGGACACTGCAGACGACATCAAGCAAGCTGTGGAGTCTGCTGCATCCCCCTGCAATGCTGCTCTGACTGCTGATGCCCCCTCACTGGCCAGAGCCCTAAACTCCTTCCTGGAGGACTTGGGTAGTGACAACCCGAACTTGGACATTGACTCCCACAAAAGTTGAAGTCATGTCTGGCGATGAGTCTCATGCGGGGGGAGGGAGATCAGTACCAAGAGGAGGGCACTCAGTGCTGTGATGACGACCGGGACCTAGAGGTCCAATGCTCATGTCCTGAGTAACGCGATGCCGGTGAGTATCGTTGGCGTATAAAATGGTACCGGGTCTTCGGGGATCAGTCCCTGGAGCATTGGCCCACATGTGCTGAGCGACTGGCTCTTTCACACCCTGGTTGCTGGGGGGACACATACCTCCAATGGTCTCCACCAACTTCTTCTATGCTGCACATGCTGGGCTGCAAGGTGTTCTCCTCTCCAACCTTGCAGGAGAGTAAGAGCATCAGGCATTAGGCAATTGGGAAGCCAATCGAGGCTTCCCCCTGTGGTGGGGCCGGACACCATCGGCGTTGGTGGCACTGGCATGGAGACAATGTCTTGGGCCATCTGGAACAACTCCAGTGTGGACAGCACCTGCATGTCCAGCGAAGGTGGCAGGGAGCGAGGAGAGCTAGCACGCTCTGCTTGCTGTGGTGCCTTGTCCTGTCCACATTCTCTGCCTGGGTCCCACATTTGTTTGTGCTTCTCCTTATAAGGTCCAGGGGACTCCTCCTTGCCCGTCTTCCTGGCACCCTTAGACAGAACCATGAAAGACTCCCAGTGCTGGCTAGACAATGGCGTGTCACACAAAAGCACTGGTGCATGGCACCAAGTTGGAGCCCTGGCCTTGTGGAGCCAAGACAGATTCTATTAGAATTGCTTTAAGCGAATAAGCCTGTTTTTCATAGTCCTACGCCCCAATGATCTGCAGATCAGACACGCCTCACTGATGTGAGACTCTACAAGCACCCATAGGACACCCGGGGGGGCGGGGAGGGCGCTAACTGGCATAAACCTGCTTCCGTTAGCACTTGATTTAAAGCTAGGGGAGCGGGGTATGCCCCATCCCCAGGCTAGGTCCCTAAAGGAGGTTACTTCTAAAACTAACAAAGAGAGGGAGAACAATTTACAATGAAAAGAGAACGATTAACACTTGAAAAGGCTACAGCTAGGCCAGAGCAAGCAAGTCCAAGCACCATCAATGGCAGCAAGAAGGAACTTGGAGAGGGAAGTGCCGGGCAACGCCCCATATGTGGGCCACTCCAGGGGTCACTGGAGCTAGTCCCCGATGGGTACTGCTGAGGGAGAGTTTTCCAGTGCCAGTGCATATGGTGAGCACACACCCCGACTTTGAATGGACATGAGCAAGCACTTGGAAGAAGATTTCTGCATTGTAAGTGGTGATCACTGTGACACAGCAATCCAGTATAACAGATGAGATGCTTTTGTGGTTTTCAGTGTACGAGCCACTGACTCACTCTTTGATATGGGAGAAAATCACCTTAGTCCAGAGGGTCTGTGCAAATCTTTCCAATCCAGGGATTTGAGTGAGGCTGACGCAGTCCAAGAAGCCTTGTGTGGGGACACCATCTGCTTATTCAGAGAGATACTTTGTGCTGGGATACAGCTATAATTCTACAAAGCCAATGAGCAGGGAAGGCCTTTACCACTGTCCACTGACAGATCCTCCCAGTGCACTAAAGAGGACTTAGAGAAAAACTAGCACAAGAGCATTCATTACCTTAAAGAACACACAGAACACACAGGGGGTTACCCTACATATAGTTCCTCAGGTACATTTACCAAATTCCTTAGAAAGCCTGAAATAATAAGTGCCTTTGTCCTCCCCTGACTCCTTGACTTCTATATTCTCTCTCCAGCCATACATGCCACACTTTGCCGAGCATCTGAGCAGTAAGCATTGAGCAGTCAGTTCGGAAGATAAATAGCAAGCCGTTAAAAATCTATGTAACCACAGTCAGGCTTTCAAACCGCAGTCAGGCTTTCTAGGAGAAGGTTACCTGCAAGAAGAGGTATTAAAACCACCCTGATATTAAGATAGATAGCTATGGCATGAACTGTAATCCATGGAAGCCTCCCCATTTAGAGTTGTATGAAGGAGTGTGTGGAACTTACTAGCTCCCTTTTCAAATTACACTGTTCCAAACTACCCAGACTTATGCCTTTGATTGCTTCTGTAATACTGTAAGATTGAAGGAAGTTTCCACATACGCTAAGCAGCTCTTCGAATGCATTTGCTGAATCTGCTGTTGGTTTTGTTTTTGTAAGACTCCTGCAGGGTGTCTGAAGCTGTTTTCCTGCCTTGCATGTGCAGTAGTTCTATTTGAGCAAGGGCTTCAGCTGTAAATTGCATCATTAGTGGAGGCTAAATGAGCCCATGAGTGCAGTGATCCCCCCAGCAATGACTAATGGATGCTATGGCACATTAGCCCAGTTTCAGTCTGTGAAGCAGATTAAAGTAAACAATGGGATTGCAATGTTTGCTTATGTCTTCTCTGCTGTATCACTTTCTCGGTCATGTCCTTTCCCTTCCACTTCAGCAGTCATGGAAAACAAGCCCAGACTTGCAAGGGTGACATCAGTATATTTTATGAGGAGTGAATGAGGAAAATGCTACAAAAAACAGTCAACTTCCCAAGTCCAGAATGAATGTGGGTGATCATCTTGGCTGTGTCCAGACTCCATGCCTCCGTCGACGGAGGCATGTAGATTAGCCAGCTCGGAAGAGGGAAATGAAGCCGCGATTAAAATAATCGCGGCTTCATTTAAATTTAAATGGCTGCCCCGATCTGCCGATCAGCTGTTTGTCGGCAGATCGGGAGAGTCTGGACGCGATGCCCCGACAAAGAAGCCTTTCTTCATCGACACAGGTAAGCCTCGTGAAACCAGGTTTACCTGTGTCGATGAAGAAAGGCTTCTTTGTCGGGGCATCGCGTCCAGACTCTCCCGATCTGCCGCCAAACAGCTGATCGGCAGATCCGGGCAGACCCTTCA